GAAATTATTTCAAATTCAGGGGGCTAATAACTATCATAGCTCTCTTGTATTGTCTGCATAAAACTTTAGACATACATGAGATTGGGGTGGCAAGTCTTTGAATTTATGAAACTGTCAGCATGAAATTTATCATGCTAAATGAGTGGTTTGCAAGTGGCAAAAAAAAAACTACTACTTAGATAGCAGGATGTGGTTAAAAAGAAATTAACATCGCTGTCAATATATATTCTTAGTTTAGCAGGAGAGCTGATATTTATATTGTAATATTAATGGTAATAATGATAATGAAAACTTTAAAAATTAAAATATTATTTACTTGCAATGCCCCACTGTTTGTACTGAAATTCAACTCTATGGAATGGGACTATTCACAAATTCTTAAAAATACTAAAAACTTCAGTGGTGTATTATAAGATATTTTAAATGAATCTTAAAAATCCTAAAAAAATTATTATAAATATTATATTATAAACCCACTGGTTTCAGATGGCACAATGTGAAGGCATGATATAAAAACATGACATGTAGAGTTACATGTCATGGCTGGCACGATATGTTGTGGTTTGTAATATTGGGGAACCAATTTCTTTTGTTTCAAAACTATTCCACCCCCCCCCCCCCCCATTTCTGTCTGTCTGTCAGTCTCTCTCAAGTTAACCCATTGCCGCCGGGGAAAATGAACAAAAAATGGGGAAAATGCTGTGCCTATTTTCTATACTTTTTTGTTAAATGTCTGCCCATAGATGGCTCTGTTAGCCCCTGATTTGAAACACGTATTTTTCACTAGTGCCATGAATATCGATGGTGTTATTTTTATCATAAACATTGTAATTTTTATAATGTTTTTTAACATTAGTAACAGCAAAATAAGATACCGTAAAATATTTCGTAAATCAAAGAAAAGGGTGAACGGGCGAGACAGACGGTACTCGTAACTGGCTCATTGGTAATTTAGTACAAGTGTAGCCATCTATGTGTGAAAACAATCTAACAAGTAATCTCACAGTGGCCATGGCATGGCATGCCCGGCGGGAATGGGTTAACTGACTAGGATGACATGATTATAAGATAGAAGAGCAAAAGGTTAGCTGCCATCAACTCTGGTTTTGTAAGCAACAATATATGAATTCAATACAAATTCAAATTGCAGAACAAATGTATAATACCCATTACCCTATCACAGCAAATGATGCCCTTGTTTTAACTTCAAACTTTCTTTGACCTTTCTGAAGAGGAGGGGGAGGATGAAGCTGAAAATTGTCTTAACCCCTTGATGACGGGTGAAGAAAAGAAAAGAAAAGAAAGAAAGAAAGAAAAAAACACTCTACGCTCTGATGATCAAGTATGGTCTGCTAATGCCCACTCTAGTATTATAAAGGGTGAAGAGATATGGTGGACGCCTCTGATTATTTGCAAGTTTTGTGTTTTTGCTACTGCTGAGGATCTTAATCCCTAAATGTTGGTGTTAGAAATCTCTCAGTATCATAGACTCAGGTGATTTCTGGTAACTGTCCAGCTGCTGGGAGCGGGACTCCACAACATGTAGCAGAATTTCCTGCTCATGGATATAGCCATAACCAGCAGATCAAATGGTTTGTTATGATGGCTATACACGTGACCAAGCAGTAACGGGATAATAAGAGTATCCCCCAAGTCATACTAGGCATAGTAATTGTTTAAGAATGACCTACATGAGAAGCCTTTCTGTGCCAAACATGTCTTGTGACAGGTTTGACCAAAGAAATACCTGCAGCCATTTTGCTGACAACTTCACACCAGTTGTTGGCAAAAGACTTTAGTAACCAGTATCATGCAGCACAAAAGCGGGGAAATGCAAACATCACAACGAATCATCACTGTGGATAAAAGTTTAAAGGAAATATAAGGGTCACTTTGAATCTGTCACTTACAACCCTGAAAAGTAGGTTAGATTCTGCCTTGTGTGTACAAATTCCGAGTTTCCTTAAGCCCTACATATAATAAAACATCCAAATTGAAATTTAACACAAAGCAGGATAGTACAGGCAGCAGACATGGGCAGACATGGTGGACAATGGGTAATACTTTCGTTGACAATTGGTCCATCTCCCCTACCCATTTTCACTAGCTCTAAGGGAGGAGGACAAATACTTGCAACATGGCAAGAGCTAACTACAAGTGGATGATGCAGGATTTCCCAGTAAGAATGACAGCTAATACTATGGAGAGGAAGAGCACCCCTATGGATATACTATGCCTGAAGTGGATGGACAAAATACATCCTCTTAACACTCCACAAGACAAAGGTAGAAATGGATGGCTGAGCTGATTGTCAAACATTAATGTTTAGTCTTGTTTATGGTTTACCATAAAATAATGATAGGAACACAGGCTGTGTGTGTACCACAAAAAGTTGATATGAAGAATTTGTAATGTTCTAATGCAGTATCTCATTCATAAACTGCCAAATGGTTACTGTCCACCACTCAATATGATGGAAAACTTACTCTCATAGTACAATATCCACTACAGTTTACCATATAAATGTACAGTATATCTCAAAATGCCCTTATGGCAGTCAATATTCTGCCCAATCATGAAATACATACCAACAAAGGGCTCTGCCACATATGCACTATTTCCATGACCAATGGGTTAATTTCACAAATTGACCCTCAATTTATAATAAACATCTTGACAAACAGTTGCTTCTGGAGCTTTATCTAACCTGGAAAGGCAGATTGTGTGATGAGCCAATCAGCACAAGCTGTGAGGACTTGTTTGAGTAGGTTCCCCATTCTGCTTCAGCTACCAGATAGCAGAAGTGTGCTGCATGAAGTTGTCCCCTGGATGCCAAGGTGTCTCCTAAAGCCACGATAGAAGCCCGGTCTCGTTGAGTGTGGCCAGTTGGATTGGATACCATCACTGCTAGATGTTGCCGCCAGTCACCCCATTGCTGTATGTTGTAACTCTGCAGCACATATACAAATAAAATGAATTCTAAAAAATGGCAAGATTTTTCAATCTAGAGCATTAACCCAAATGGAACAAATGACAAGAATACACACTAGTAAAAATTTATCTATTGTCTTTAACCCCTTACTGACAGGTTAAGAAAGAAAGAAAGAAAGAAAGAAAGGAAGGAAGAAAGGAAGAAAGGAAGAAAGGAAGAAAGAAAGGAAGAAAGAAAGAAAGGAAGAAAGAAAGGAAGAAAGAAAGAAAGAAAGGAAGAAGGAAGAAAGAAAGAAAGAAAGAAAGAAAGGAAGAAAGAAAGAAAGAAAGGAAGGAAGAAAGAAAGGAAGAAAGAAAGGAAGAAAGAAAGGAAGGAAGAAAAGAAAGAAAGGAAGAAAGAAAGGAAGAAAGAAAGGAAGAAAGAAAGGAAGGAAGGAAGAAAGAAAGGAAGGAAGAAAGGAAGAAAGAAAGGAAGGAAGAAAGGAAGAAAGAAAGGAAGGAAGAAAGAAAGAAAGAAAGAAAGGAAGAAAGAAAGAAAAATGAAAAAAGAAAAAAAAAAAAAAAAAAAAAAAAAAAAAAGAAAGAAAAAAAAAGAAAAAGAAAACTATGCTCTGGAGGCTGATGGCAATGATCCGACTTTGAGCGTGGGAGTTCACTACATTAAGCTGAACCCCTATGTCGCCGTGGTGTACAGCCACAGCGCGAGGCCTGTCGGTATGGGGTTAAACATAGATGGCTCTACAAGTACTAAGTCATCAAAGAATCAGTTATTAGTCTTACCTATTTCACTTGTTTACCCTTTCCTTGATTTTTTGAAAGCATAATTTGTACTATTTTATTGTCTTAATGTTATAAAGATTTTAATAACAATCTACTAATCATAATATCAATAAGAATAACAACATTATCAATATTAATAGTATTAGAAAGAAAAACATTTTTTTTTTGCAAATTCAAGGAATGGGGAAATCAGGTGTAGTCACTAAGACTTACTGATAAACTCTTTGGTATATAACAAAGTTCACAAAATATACAGGGGGTCAGAACATAAACCTGTAATTATTTTAAAAGTGCAAGCATTGAGATAACAACATATTAATAATATCTGGAACAACAGACAAAATAAGAACAAAAAACATTTAAATACAGTAAAAGAAAAACATAATCTAACCTTTGTAATTTCTGGTCTCTTTCCAGACAACTGCTGGAAGAGAGTTTGCAATACATCTGTTTGAGGTATTGAGTTGGAGAAGGCAGCTAATACACGGGTATGGGTTGTTCCATCCATTTTGTAAGACAGAGCCAGAGCATGGCCCCATAAACCTTCTCTCATTGCATAATCAACAGCTTCTCTTTTCCTTCCTAAGCAAAGATATTCACAGAACTTTTTCAAAAGCAAAGATTCATCCTTTACAGCTGTTGGTGGACTTGTCTGAGAGTGAATATCAATACCTTCATCTTGAGGACTTGAATCTGAGGCAGGAGTGTTTGGAATTTCATCTGGAGTTGTATTAGGAGTCACCTGCTGGGTCTGTGAGCTGATTTCTCTTCCCTTCAACAGCAGACTTGCTATATCGCTTCCAAATAATTTGCCATTTTGCTTTACAAGTAGTGCTAAATATTCCCAAATTAGTACAACAGAGTCACGATCATTTAAGCTAGGGTTGTCTGCTGCCTCAGCCACTTGATTGTAACAATATTTTACAACAACTTCTTTATGTGTATCAGCTCTGTTGAATGCAGAGAGAAAAAAATTATAACGGTTGCAATATCAACAGTCAGAAGTACATAAAGCATTGTTTTTTTTTTGTCCACTTATATTGCAGTGCATGCAATTGCTTATATAAACTCAATCTGAGGCTACAGAAACAAGAAATTGCTTCATCTTCAACTTACAATGTGAGGGGTCCTGGATAATTCTTCATCTGCTGTATCGTCTCCTTTAGCACTGGATCTAAACATAGCATTTTCTGCACATCACGAAGCTGTACAACAGCCTTTTCTCCTTCTCTGGGATCCTTAGGCAACACCATCAGGAGCTGGCCACCACGTGTGAAGGAAGCACTAAT